AGTGTGGAATATTGTGAACCATTTGCCAGTTGGTTATTGGCAATGTTGACTATGATGGTGGCTGTCTAATGATTAGTTGACCGTTATAGCCCTTAGCCTTCTTTATTTCTTCTTTTTAAATAAAAAATAAAGGTGGTGTTGGAGTTTTCTTGTATGCACCTCGACGAGTATATGTTATTTCTCATAGCATTATATCAGGATAAAATTTACCCGCACTCGGTGTTTAACCGAAGACGTGTCTTCCACGCACATTTAACTGTTAAGGTTTAATTGTTCAATTTGACATAAACATGTAAGTAGTTACCAGTAACTCTCATCTTCAACTGTTTAGCTAACTGAGATATATACATCTATAGCTCTAGTTTCTGTGCTCCATCTGTTTTCCCTTAATTTTCCTAAATCCAGACTTATGAAGCAAAAAAAGAAATGGTGAAATGAAGACATTTAACTAACTTGTCTATATGGATTGCTTTGACAGGTACCAGAAATATGGATGAAGCCAAACAGTGATCATCATTACCAATGCATTTCTCGGCCAAGGAATCGCATAAGTATGTCAAGATTTTGGATTTCTGAACTTATGTGGTGTTAATTTGTGAAGTTTATTCTTTATGCATTCTGATATCTGGAAATTTTTTGCAGGAACTGGCTCATCGACGAATGGCTATATCTTAGTTCATGCGAATGGAGGATTGAACCAAATGAGAACAGGGGTGAGTGAAAAGCTGTATGCCTCAATCGTTACGCTATTCTGTTAATGGTTTTTAGCTAATTGCGAAGCTAAAATGTTTTGCTAATTATGTTTAGTGGATTACTGCAGATATGTGATATGGTGGCTGTTGCAAAAATAATGAATGCTACTCTGGTTCTTCCTTCTCTTGACCATGAATCCTTTTGGACAGATACTAGGTACTATTCTTTAGTTTCTTCTGATCAGTTGAGAATGCCCCCTCGTGGGGTCTGTCCGTTTTCGTTCTAATAATTTATCGTGTATTGCAGTGATTTTAAGGATATTTTTGACTGGAGACACTTCATTGAAGTTTTAAAGGATGATATTGAGATTGTTGAGTCTTTACCACCTAAATATGCAGCTGTGAAACCCCTTCATAAGGCACCTGTTTCTTGGTCAAAGGTTTGTAAACAAAACTAGTACTGTACTACTTATGAGCTAGCTTTAGCTTTTAGTTTTCGTGGCGAAAACTAAAATATGATGGTTCCATTGCAGGCTAGTTACTATAGAGGAGAGATACTTCATTTACTAAAAAAGCACAAGGTGATACAATTTACCCACACAGATTCAAGACTTGCTAACAATGGCCTAGCATCGTCGATTCAAAGGCTTCGCTGTAGAGCCAATTATCAGGCTCTGCGTTACACGGATGAGATAGAGGACTTTGGAAAGAAGTTGGTGGATAGACTTAGAGATAATGGCGAACCATATATTGCTCTCCATTTAAGGTAATCTATCTAACACTTGGTTTTTCTTTGACATTTTCTCAACCATTGATCGATGAGTAACTTAGCATATTGCTCGAACGTGCAGATACGAAAAAGACATGCTAGCCTTTACTGGCTGCAGCAACAATTTGACAGCTGAAGAGGCTGAAGAACTTCATAAAATGAGGTATGAAGTGAAACATTGGAAAGAGAAAGAGATAGACAGCAAGGAAAAGCGACTCCAAGGGGGATGCCCTATGTCCCCGAGGGAAGCTGCCTTATTTCTTAAGGCGATGGGCTATCCCTCCACGACCAGAATATACATCGTTGCAGGGGAAATTTATGGCAACAACAGTATGGACGAATTTCGTTCACACTATCCAAATGTGTTCTCTCACTCAACCCTCGCAACAAAAGAAGAACTCGAGGCTTTCAAGGACTATCAAAACCGTCTTGCTGCTGTAGACTATATGGTAGCCCTCGAAAGTGATGTTTTCATTTACACATACGATGGCAATATGGCGAAGGCTGTACAAGGTCATAGAAGGTTTGAAGGATTTCGAAAGACCATTAGCCCCGACAGGTTTGTTATCATCCTTGATGCTCTATAAATTTCCCTTTTCACCACTTAACTTTGATCAAAACTAATGATGTTTTTGCATCGTCTTTATTTTCAGATTCAACTTTGTAAGATTAATCGACATGTTGGATACGGGTGCAATCTCTTGGGAAGAGTTTGCTTCACAAGTTAAGGTCTTACAATCCAATAGATTAGGAGCTCCTTACCTCAGACAAGCCGGTGAATCGCCAAGATTAGAGGAGAACTTTTATGCAAATCCTTTACCAGGTTGTTTATGTAATAGATCTGAAGAGGAAACCAGTAAACAGCAACTCAACAAGAGACCAAGTTTAAGGGTTACTTCACAAAGATAGGGATTTGTATGTTCATAATGTGGTAGATTAGTCCAATATCAGTACCATAATATACTACAAATTGGCCTATAAGGGGCTGACAGATGTCGGGTTATTCGTTGCCCTTCATGCTGCGCGGCGAGCAGAAACAAAGAGAGATTATTGTAGCAAGGAAGCAGGGCTTGGAAGCAGAGATGGTTGGTTTATAAGATGGACAAAAAGAAAGCATATACAGAGATATACTCAAATTATTCTTTAGGTATGGAGTATAGAATTTTTATTCATTTATTATTATTTTTTTGTTCGAGTTGGTTTTGTAATTAGTTTACACATTTAGGTTCAACACGGATTCATATGTATACCAATTCATGAAATGATATACAGGTCTTTGTACACAGCGGCACAACTACATTTTTTTTGTCATCTTTTACTAGAGAGTTGTTTTTTTGCGTTGCCTTTCATTTTTAGCTTAAAGAACTGGATGGATTATTCTGCCCTCAGGGCTTTGGTCTAATGGTAACAGCGCAGTGCTTGTTGTGTGGATTAGACGTACGTCACCTTTGGTATTTAAATGTAGAAGAACGAGTGGCGTCACTATAATGACTTCATATTAAAAGAAGAAAAACCTCAAATCATATTAATTAAAACACCATGAGCAGGTTTCAAAACCTTTACCCCTACGGAGATATGAAGCCATCTGCATTCAAGTGTTGCTATCTTTATATTTGGAGCTATATTTTCGTTTTTATAAATTTATTTATATATATTTAATAATTATTCGACGAAGTGCTGTCCCGTGACACCGCTTACCTCAAGGTAGAGAAAAGTAAATTTCATGTAACAAAAAAATTCAGGTAATAGCTCGTAACTGCCCCACTAGCAAGCAAAGGAAAGTGGTTGTAAGGCTCATTTTATAAAAATTCAGTGCATTCGCAAGTTATTATTGTAAAGATAACCATTCACAATGTTTGCTTTAATTTTGTGGCATTTTCAATGGCATTCTTAGACCATTGCTCCTCACCTCAAAACTAAGCTAGAAGCATGACAACAGTAAATAGTGGTCCTACCAATTAAGTTTTGCAAAAGTTTAACTGTCTAATAGGATTTACAATGGACAGACAAAATTAGCCTATAGCATATCATGGAAGAAGCACACTGGATGCGTGCTTCGACCGTGTCTTCGGGGCAATGTTGAATTTAGATATTATCAACGCGAGGTGCAGACCAGGCTAAGAAATCCCGGTGACCATTCCCCTGTATTAATGAAGCGTATCTAGAGCCCCAGCTCAGCTGAAGAGGCCTAGCCTGATATGAGAAGTGCTACTTCGAGGCTGATCCAAGATTTGATGTCAGTCAGTGCATAATAGTATTATAACCATTACTTCTTGATAACAATTACTATTGAAAAGCAAGTTCAACGAAATATCTTGAATACGAGTTAAGAAGAGCAAAAATTTGAGATGTCACGTAAAATATTGAAAAGTTGTGCTTCCCTTCCCTGTGATTTGGTTTAGTAGACATAACATAATATAAAATTAATATGACTGGAGCATACCAGAAAAGCATGAAAATAGATACTGAGGTTAGATATCTAACTGCAAGAGCAAGGCATTTGAGAAAAGTGTACCTCAGACCATGTGAAGTTAGCAGTATGGACCATGTGAGATAAATTAATACTGATAGAATGCTATCACGCTACAATCATAGGGACCATAATTGAGACTTGAGAGTTTGGCTTATTTGTATGGAAATAATGCATGGTTTTTATCCCATCCTTCTTCTTGAAAGCACTGTGGTTTTCTTTATAATGTACTAGACAAACATAAAGCAAGTTCTGCTACTACCCAAGAAAGAACTTGACAAGCCCAAGGGCGCATCTCGACTATTTCACAGGGTACCTCATATCTCCCTCCAGCATAACTGCATAAGTACCGGATAACTCGGTTCCTCTAGGCTTAGACAGATACGAAGAAATCACCTAGCGTCTTTTGCCTCAACCTAATATCAACCAAACATATTCTGCTCCAGAACCAAACTCATTAAATACAAAAGCTGAAAAAGTAATTTGGCAAGATCAGTCCATACGCCACCATATTTCCACTTTTGTGTTATCATATTAATCATATCTACTTTGAAGGGGACTGCAGTTGACCTCTTAAAATTAAGCAAGTCACATGGTTCTATTAAGTGACATCTAAAAACTTCAATTAAGCAGTCCCAAACAACTTTGCCTTAAATTTTTCTTGGCCTGATCAGAAGAAAAAACAGATAACCAAGCAAGCAACAGTCTTCTATGGTCAGTTGGTCACTGGAGTTTCATCCTTTCTGAAATCTCCACTATAAAACAACACCCTGGAATAGCACCTCCTGATGTACTTTCTGAAGATTAGGCTAATTCAACAATCATTCAACAAAAATTGGCAGCCCGATGCACTAAGCTCCCACTATGTGCAGGGTCCGAGGAAGGGCCGGACCACAAGGATCTATTGTACGCAGCCTTACCCTATATTTCTGCAAGAGGCTGTTTCCACGGTTCAAAACCGTGACCTCCTGGTCACATGGCAACAACTTCAACAATCATTCAACATTCTTTTAAAATGATAGCATGCGTATTATAGTGAATACTATGAGCTAAGCCTGCCACAAAATGATAATGGTGAAAAATTCGATCATAGAATCTAATGGCATCCTTTACCCATGCGATGCACAATATAATTAATATGACTCCTGGCTGATCACAGTTCAAGTACAAATGGACTGGTCTCCAAAGATCATGCACCCACAAAAACGATATGCATCTTCGTTTCAATTTGGTCTATAATCCTGAATCTACTTCCTTAAGACCCTATTATTTGTGAAGTGTAGGATTAATTACAACAAGATCTGCAGTAGCAGCTACAACATACAGTGTCTGGGAATTGGCATTATGACACTACCACATCGATGGTACATAGACCTGCTCTTTGAGATTCTGTGCGGCGCTTTCAGTGGGAAAACCCCTAACAGCACCTATTGTCCACTGGGATATTATGCCCGCAGCAATTGCAAAGCGAAGCTGTCTCTCCAGAACATCTTGATCGTGATACATTTCCGGTTGTGTCGTCAATTTTCTCATTATTCCGGCAACAACAGCATCACCAGAACCAGTTCTATCACAAGTGAATGGTGTTATGAGAACATCTTCTGTACCAACCACAACGCCATCAAAAGAAGGAGAATAATAATGAAGCCTAAGTGTCCCATCTGTAACAAACAAAAGTTTCAGTCCATCATGCCATAAGGGGGCAATTTCCTCAGGAGTATAGTGATAATAATCTCTTCTTTGTTTGGTTTGTTCAAAATTCTCCGCGAAGTATTGAGGTCTGTAATTCCTTTTCCTCTCGTAATACTCTTCGTCAAGAAGAAATTCAAGCTCTTGCCTTGAGACCTCAATGATGTTAGCCTGTTCCCAGGCTTCCTTGATTAAATTTCTGGTCTCATCACGTGATCTCCACAAGGGCAACGGTAGATTCAAGTCAAAAAATACAAGGCCACCAAACTTCTTTGACAATGAAATTGCTTTAAATAGAGTAGAACGCATAGATGAAGATGTTAAGACTTCAGAATTAAAGTGAAATATCCTGGCCTGCAAAAGAGAAGGAAAAGCTCAACAAAATTTGTTCAAAATACTTGCCCCAACATCACCCGGACACAAAACTCGTTAAAGGCTTAAAGCACGTCATAGAAGACAAATATCCATTTCCGTAGGCTCATGCACTGTATTAAAAATATCCAACACGTAATATGCAACTTATCATGATACAGCATCTTATTTCTGGTTCATAACAGTAAGAAGAAAAAAAATTCCCAACTGACCGCGAAGAATGAAAACTGATTATATATCCAATCGCGTTTCACAATTGGAGGATCGGTCAGTATCAAGCTAAAAGTCTTGATTGTTTCAGGAAGATAAGGTAACTAGTCAAACAAGGAACGACATAAAAATATTAGTAATGCCAATGACAACTAGTCGACAGGACGCTAGAATTTAATGAATAGGGAACTACACTTTCACTGCCTCCAAGTAAAAGGAGTATATACAATTAGCACAAGCGTCAAACTCAAATAAATAGGTTGACAAGAATTATGCATCTTTAGTCAATTTGTTCTACAAAAACAAATGCATCTATACAAAGGAATGTCAGCAGAGTGAACAGATCAGGCAAGCCTCAGAACAGGAGAGAGCATTAAAACTGTTAGAACTGTTAGCGACTGCACAGCACAATAGTTTCTACCTACAAACAGTGCACTTCTTCAACAGTCTGACTCAAATATACCTAATGACAATCGTTTATATGGAAATTTGCTACATCTATGAAGCCATTGGGTTCTTACATTTTCCAGTTTTCACAAGACAGGTCAATACCAATACGTTCATTCACGAAGCAAATTAGGTTCATGCATCCTCTATTAACATTTAAAGCCAAACACCACTACGAAAAATAGAAAAAAGCAACATGCTTGACAATGTTACTACAACTCTATCCATAAAAAACTCTATTTACCTCTTTTAGCACATCAAGATTCAATTCGGAGCTAAACAAAGAATCCTCAGCAGGCTCTTTAACTTTCTCCACCTTCATTTTCCCATTCTCAAACTTAATTTTCATACGAGTACATCCAGTCCTCATACTATCATCAAATTTAACCGCCCGAGTTTGCACTTTCTCTTTATTCATTAACAAAACCATTTCTTGACCAAACTCATCATTCCCAACTTTACCCATAAATGCAGCTCTACCACCTAGCCTAACATGAGATATAGCAACATTAGAAGGTGGCCCACCAGGAGCTCTAACAAATTCAGGTGGATTCCACTGTAACATTTTCCACTCTGAATACTTATCTTGGTGCATTTGCTCATGTGATACTCTCACTGTTGGCACAAACTCCTTCTGTGCTGCACCAAAACAGATGACTAAAGGTGGGTTTGGGTATGGAAAATCAACCCCATCATCATAATTTTCAATCTTGTCATCAGCATTTTTTGAGAATTCCATTTGGGTGTTGGATTTTTCAATGTTGGTTTCAAAGTTTGAATCTTTTTGGGATTTTGAGCTTTTTTTAGCTGTTCTTGATGATTTTTTGGGGCCACGGGGTGAGGTTTTAGGGGGTTCTTGGGTGGTGGTGGAGTGGTCATTGCTGGAGGATTTTAGTGGGTTTTTTCTGTGGGGAAGTTTAGAGGAGAAGAAAATGGAGGAAATATTGTAGTGGGTTAGTGAATTGTGGGAGTAATGGGGAAGAGATTGCGGAAGAAAATGGATTGATGCCATGGCTTCTTCTTGGTGTTAGGGTTTATCCATTTCTCTAGGAGTTAGAGGTTTTGACTTTCTATCGGGTTCTGATAATTTACCCGGGTTGTTTTTGGGTGGTTCGTTTACCTGTCGGGTCGAGTTCATGCAAGTGAATTTAGGCCCAACAAAGCCAACGTTAAGGGGTGATTTGCGTAGAAATGACATTAGGTAGCCACTCTAAAGGGCTGCTATTTAGGAATTAATTAGTGCATCTTGAATTATAGTTTTTCAGTTCAAATTTTTAGGACAAAAATATATTAAATTGTCATGAAGTTAAAAATTTTAATTTAAAATTTCAAGACAAAATAAATATTGGCTAATCTCTAAATAGCATCCTTAAGAATGGCTATTTGTGCACTAGCCCCTTGATTTGCAAAAGTATGACACTTCCACGCGGGTTAATGACACAAATGACCAGTGGTCTTGAACTTTTGACTTTTGGAGCAGTTCACCTGACCAATGGGCAAAATCTTAAGTTTAACAAATTTTATTCCATAGCTAAAAATTCTAACTTTTGACCTTGAAGGTTTGCCAATTGGTCAGGTGGCTGGTAGGCCAAAAATTAAATATTATCCCTTATGGTGCCCTATTTTCTGTCATTTTCTGCTTCCACGTTGGTCTTTGATGTTTCCCTCTTTTAGAAGTTTTGCATTAGCCATAGAGTTGCCTTACATCTTCTTAATGATGGCAGTTTTCTCTTTTTGATGCTGTTGAATTGGAAGAAATAACTCATATATATCGGGAAGGCAATTCTGTGGCTGATACTTTGGCAAAGTATGGACGCTCCAAGCAACCAACAACAACGGAGGGAGATAACACAATATTCTAGGAAACACCTTCGGACTTTATTTTACATGTTATAAATAAAGACAAATCAGGAAAAATGGCTATGCGGTGTACCCCTATGCTATGTAATAACTAATCTTACTAGTATGTTTTAATATAAAGTATTCCTTTCATTAGCAAAACAAAAAAAAAAAGTTTTGCAGAAATATCCTTCTAAGTTTAAGATGTGGACAAATATACCCTTCATTAACATCATGACTTCTTCGCTACCACCAAGCTTCGCTTTTAACTTGTTGGAAAATTTTTATGGTATGCCATATTACTATTAGTAGTGTGAGGCATCTTTTTATCTTATAAATTTGTGGTCTCATATTTTCACACTTTTAGTCTATAAAATTCTAAATCCACAAAATGGTGAGAAGCAAAAAAAAAAAAAAAAGCTTACACACCTAGTGTCAGTTGTGTGAGGCATAAAATAAAATTTTCTACTTATTGGTGATTGCGTATGAAGCGTAAAAGTGAGTGAATTTCCAATATCATTGTAGATGCAGAAGCCTTGGCAGGATTTCACGCTATGTTCAATCTAGCTATTATAGTGGACAACCTAGAAACTTTATTGAATTAGCATGGCTTTGTGATTGTTCAATTGTTCATTGAGCTCTATTATATTAGTATGACTTTGTGTTATTTGTATTCAACTTATATGTTAACTACGTTTATCAATTGTATACAAAGTAAGATATTAGACTCTAATCTTCCCATTTTGGATTCCAATCTTTCTCATTTTCTCTTCTCCTCTCTTCCAAAACAGAACATGTGATCTAGTAAACTGTAATGAGAGAATTATTAGTGTTAGTTATAGTAGGTGTAACATTCAACTTTTTATTTCTTTTTTCCAATCAAAAGCTCATGTTTGTGTCCTGCCATTGACGACAGATTGCTAGTTAATTGTGCTTTTGGTTTCGTGAATCCCTAATAGTAAAGCCAAACAAAGACACACTTTTGATTTTTGACCAGAATAGTTTTCTTTATATCAAACTAAATTTAACTACATCGAGTATAATTTTTTATAATAAATATAAAATTTATCAAAAAGCTGCATTAATAACCATTAAAAAGCTTCACAGCTTTGAATTCGAAAATTAAATTTTACAAAATTATTATTTATTTGGATTGAGTATCGTTGCAAACAAGTGAGAATATCCTTTGGAGTTTATATCCTAATTATGAGGAGAGTTTGGTAAAATTTGAGTTGGTTTTGGTCGAAATTTCATTAAAACTCGAAGAGGAAGAAGAAAAATACATTTTTAAGTTGTATGTATTTCGTATATCGGTGTATATTATTTGTACATACAACAAAATAATTATATGAAAGTTATATGTAAGTTGTATATTTTGACCAGATTGTATACATTAAAAAACTATATGTAATTATATGCAAGTTGTATGTTTTGACCTGATTGTATATATTTTTTGAAATAACTCTCGCTACTTTTTTGAAAATCTAAAATCCAATTAAAGTTGGTAAATAGTGCCAGATTTTTGTATCTACAGAAAAAAAAAATCCTTTTATCCCTTGGCTACACCATTATTGAGCTCAAAAGCGTGCCTACCATGTCAACTTATGTTATATTTAATGAAACTCTTTACTTTTTTTTTCTCACTCCGATATGAGATTTATCTATGGAGTCATTACACTACTTCAATAGCTTGTCAGCTTAAAAATCTGTATATCATTCTCTTTGATCCACTCTCCCATATGAGCGTCACATAAATAAACGAAAAAAATCCTAATTTGGTCAAATTAATTTAATAGAGGCCAATACTCTATAGTCGTAATCGATGGGATCATAATCAACGTTCTTGGCTTTGTAGAAAGTATTCAAAAGAAAAGGATTATAAGATAAGCTCAAACCTTCTGTTCCTTTGGAAAAGAATATTGTATACAGTTGAAATCGTGCTTATTTATTACGTGATGGATCGGAACCGAAAAGTAATGGATTGAAGATCGACACCAGGTTCCATCGAACCAAAGTACGATGTCAGAAGGGCGATGTGCACAAATAGCCACTAACAGCACCTGTCTTTATTTTAAAGCCAGTGTTTTAAATGTCTTTAGTCTTTAGCCATTGGTTTAATAAACTTATACCTGACTGGACGAAAATACCCTTCTGCTATAACTTAGAGCCCGTTTGGATTGGCTTGTTTTGAGTGCTTTTAAGTTAAAATAGCTTTTAAGTCATTTTGTAGTGTTTGGATAAAGTAAAAAAGTGCTTTTATTCACTTGTTTTTAAGCTAAAATGACAAAAACAAGCCAAAAGCTAAAAGTTAGAATTCCTAACTTATGACTTAAAAGCTATTTTGGCTTAAAAGTCACTTAAAACAAGCCTATCCAAACGGGCTCTTATACCTGTCTTTAGTCTTTGGTAGACACGGATAAAGAGCCTTAATATGGCGTTGGTAGAAATCAACCCTCTGAGCATCATTGACACCTTTTGCAACTTCATTAATATCAGACTCACCCATTCCTGATGACAATGTCAAACGAGTTTCAAATTAGGATGAAAATCAGAGACGATATTCAGTAAACACTAAAGTCATGATTTAAAATATCTCTCTCTCTCTCTCTCTCTATATATATATATATATATATATAAGAAGTTCAATAAATTAAATTTTTTGCTTACCACACTCTGTGATGTAAACAGTTGGATTCTTGTAATAATTCTTTGTGTAAACGAGAAGCTTTTCAAGTCCCATTGGAGCAACAAAGAAAATGAGGTAACTTTAAACACAAAGTTAAGGACTCCCTGTCCTGAACTTTTGAACGTGTAATTCAAATTTAAGGACTGCCTATCTTTAACTTTTGAACCTGCATTTCAAACTTAAGGAATCTTGTTCTTAACATTTGAACTTTGAACTCAAAGTTAAGGACTGCCTGTCCTTAACTTTTGAACATATTATTCAAACTTGAGGACTGTCTTTCCATAACTTTTTAACGTGCAAGTCAAACTTAAGGACTCCTGTCCTTAACTTTTGAACTTGAAACTCAAAGCTAAAGACAGACAGTCCTTAAGTTTTGAACTTGAAACAATAACTTAAGGACTGCCTGTCCTTAAGTTTTGAACTTGAAACTGTAAGTTAAGGACTGCATGTCCTTAACTTTTGAACTTGAAACTCAAAGTTAAGGACAGAAAGTCCTTAAGTTTTGAACTTAAAACAATAACTTAAGGACTGCCTGTCCTTAAGTTTTGAACTTGAAACTATAAGTTAAGGACTGTCTGTCCTTATCTTTTGAACCTGCATGTCAAACTTAAGGACTCCTGTCCTTAACTTTTGTAAAGTTGAGGACAGACAGTCCTTAACTTATAGTTTCAAGTTCAAAACTTGATTACAAAAATCTTGAAGGCTAACCAAGTGAACAAACCCAGGTACAATCCCTGAGAAGAGAATTGTAGGATTTCGAGGGAATGGATAGATTGGTCTCGAGCATAAAAGAAAGATCATGCATCTGCGACATTATACCTTCTATATCCATATTATTCTTTGATGGATTTGATTCACCACGAATGTCTGCATTCTCTTAAGCATCACCAACCTTGCTTGGGGTATCAACGACACTAAAATATGTCAAATGAAATGTAAGAAGGGTTTTTCACATTTACCATTACTGCGCTTGATATATACTTCACCTTCATCGCTTCTTTCTTTTTGCAGAAGGGTTTGGGAATATAACCATTGAAGAAAGGGTAAAACTGTCTTTTTTCTATTAGTAGTGGCTATTTTTGCTGAGCATTATAATTAGTGGATAAAAATTAAAGACCCCCTTAATTAGTGGCTACTACACGCCATTTTTACACGTCAGAACGTACGTCTCCAAGATCTTCGAGCCCGTTACTTCGGAACCGACCCCGATTCCGGATAAGCTCAAGGAAACATTATCGGACCCAATAACGAAAGGCCGAAATATCCGCAACCGGTCGGATATCACGGCGGCGAGAATCTCGGCACGTATCAACGAGAGACCGATTAATTAGCGAATCATGAGATTTCTTATCTTTTATAGAATTATACCTAAAGCAGGACTCCCCTACTATATAAAGAGGGTCTGATTCTTTGTAATACATATGGTAATACGCATCCCAAAGTTTTATAATATTATTTTCTTTCTGCAAACTATCGGTATTTGATAC